TTGGTCTAGTAATTTTTTAAATAATCAATTAGCCTCCAAATCAGACAACAGAGCTGCACATTACCCTTCAAATAAATGTAACATCACACACCCAGAAGCAATCAAGACTGCATACTGAGATACTTAAGTTGCCTGAAATGAGCAGCAATTGTTTTTTTTTTGTTATCTCCTAGGCTCCCTTTTTTCTCTTCTAGGTAATAAAACCAGTCTTTCTTGACAGAAATCCATTCTGTTGTTGACCTTAAGCCTTCTCATCTGGCTAATCAAATCACTCCCTTCCTCTAGACACAATGACTTCAGGCATAAACTTTGACTCAAGCAAAGCCAGTCAGAACTGTCTCTGAAATTTGTTATGTGGATATATTTATGGACTATTAGCCAGAAGGATGCAAGCTCCAGCCTTCCAGCAGCCGTATTTTCAGAGCACAAATGGCCCATTTAAACAGATTATTATAGATAAGCAGGGCCAAGAGATGGAGAGAAAGAGAGAGCCAATAAATTACCCTCATTAAGTCAAATTTTGGCTACAAGCAATCAAAATGATCCTTCCAGATACAATACCAGATCCAGGATTTTTGTAAGAGCTGGCAAGTGGCTCAACTGTTTCTGACAGGGAAGAGAGTGACAATAAAAATGTGGGTTTTGCAGGTTCATATAGGGTGACGTCTAGAGTAACTTCATTCATTTCATGCAGAGCTTTTTTTTTTTTTTGAGAAGGATTTAGTAATCAAATGAGAGAAACATAAGAAGACAGTATAATATCCTGAGGTAGCCATCATTAATATTTTGGTATACATTTGAATTAATAGGATATAGCAAGGGCCGTCAAGCTTTTGCTGTAAAGGTCCAGACAGCGAATATTTTAAGACTTGTGAGCCATATGGTCCCTATTGCACCCTGCCATTGTAGCCATAGACAACACCAAAATGAATGGGGATGGCTTTGTCCCAATAAAACTTTATTTATAAAAACAGGTGATGGGCCAGATTTGACCTGCAAGCCATAGTTTCCTGACCCCTGAGATATAGGATCAGCTGCTCTAGCAAAATTCCAAAATGACAGTAATAAAAATAAACTAGAACTTCATTCTTCTCTCGGGAACAGTTTGGACATAAACAGTTCAGGGGCACAATGGCAACTGCAATGTGTCAGAGACCCAGACTCTTTCTGTCTTGTTGCTCTGCCACCACTAGGATGTTGCCCTCATATACATTGTCTGAGATGACCTACTATCATGTCCATGATCCAGCCAGTAGGGAAGGGAGAAGGGAAGAAAGGAAAAGGGAAAAGGAAAAGCACATTCTTTCCCTTTAAGGGTGCCAGGCAGAAATTGCATATATAACTCCCACCATATCCCATTGGCCAGAACTTAGTCATATGACCACATCTAACTGCAAAGGAGGCTGGGAAATGTAGGCTATATTCTGGGCTGCATGTAGGTAGCTAAACACTAGGGTTTGTTTGTTTGTTTTTCCTATAGAAAAGAAAAAGAACAGATATTAGGAGAAAAATAGCTGCCTCTGCCACAGTTTTCCTCCTTTCTCTTTAATGCACATATGCATGTTAGGACAGTCTTCTCACCCCCCTGCCCCCATCCCACAGCCTGGGAAGAAACCCAGGAAAAAGGAGTGACTGGAACAGGTGGTTTCATTGTCAAATTGGTAAAATAGGTTTGTGATATAACTCAGAGTCGGAAGGTGGATAAATGCCCTTTAAGGATAGTAAATTAAAGTTATATTACCAGGAGTGACATGACTATCCTGTCTAAACTTGAGGCTTTTCAGCAAGAGACTAGTTTTAGTGGTGAAAGATATATATGTTTTTGATTTTGATGCTTGGAACAAAGTCAAGTGTCATTAGGATGGGAAACACTCCCAACCCTTCTTCTTTAGTCTCTAAGTTCAAGTTTTTCCACCAGCACCAGAAATGATAACCTAGACTACGCCTTTGACTTGCAAGCAGGTTTTAGAAGCTGGACAACTACAAGACACAAAAGAGGATATGGGACTTGGTGAATAATACTGAGAGAAGCACAGAATATCCCAGAAAATGGGGTTGGGTAAGCAAGCCAGGACTTAGTTTGAGAGGGAAGACTTAAGTAGAGAGAGAATAAAGAAAGATAGAAAAGGGAGCATTAGGACAAGACAGAGCATCTGTAGGGTGGCACAATCTGGAGCCCCATGTGAGGAATCCTGAGATCTGGGCAGTCAGTACCCCTCACCCACTTTGGTGGGAAGGGGATGGAGCCAGCCTGGGGACGCAGTGGTTGATTTTTCTACACCCACGGCTCAGGAAAGTTTTAATATATCCCTGCAATCTCTGAATAAAATGCTATTTAAACTTTCCCTGGAAGACAGGTTTCCATGCGATTGTTTTGAAGAGGGCAGCCAAAGTTATAAATGGAACAGAGAGAAAAATAATCCCTCCTCCTTCGTTATCAGCAAACACCCTCTTGGTGGATTAAAGGGTGATTGAAGATTCCACCCATGACAGCAACACAACTAGAGGAGCAAAATGACAGAACTCCATATGCCCCCGCCCAGTGCAAGGATAGAGACATACCTGTTTGCTATGGTATGTCTCAAACAGTACGTGTGTATATGGATAGATCACTGCCTGTAAGCTCCAATCCCACTTCTAGGTTTTAAAGCCTGTAAAGAGTCAGTGTTTTGTGTATCCATCTTTACATTCCAGAAGAAGCAAGCACCAGCCTTTCCATATGTGTTGGCTCTTTGAACGAAAGAGATCATCTAATGTGCAATTTCTTAAAAAACGTCTATTAAACACCTATGGAGAGCCAGTCACTGGACATCTGAGATACAAAGATGGAAATTCAAAGTCCCTGTCATAAACACTTTTAGCCTACGGAGGAGATGGATGCTGAAATGGACATCTGTTGTTTTTTGGCTTCCAGCCCCCAACCCCAACTTCCTCTTAGCATATCACTCGCTCTTTTGGGAAATCCCCGATACTGTGTGTTTGGGATGGGCCGTACTCTCACACCACGAAAGCCAAAGTTGCTAGATGCTCTTTTCCTTCTCCCCTTTCCATTCTTGGTGCAGCCATGGGGTGGGCACATGAATTGGCCCAGCCAATCAGATGCTCTCCCAGGACGTGGAATCTCGATAGTGTTGTAAGAACCTTGGTTATGGCAGGAGGTCATAGTCAACATGATGACTTGTCCACTTCTCTATGATTGGAAGCAGGATCGTAAGGTAGAAACATGCCCTTCTAGACTTACCCCTTTGACAGGGTCTGTGGGCAGGGCTGGAGGAAATCCTGTTGGTGGGCATCCCAATGGCATGACCATATACCAGCAGACAATTGTAATGTGCTATAGTGGATGGAGCATGTAAATATATAAGATAAAGTATTTAAGTATCTAGTGGGTGGAAGATATATATAAGTAGAGTTCATGTACTGCCCAAACACCTAGGTCTGCCTAGTGGAGCCCAGAAAGGTTCCCCACAGTTGAATTAGGACTTGAAGGATGAGCTAGGAGCAGGGTTTTGCCCAGCAGGTAGGTAGAGGAAGACATTCCAAGCAGAGAGAACCATGGGTACACAGACACAGAAGTGCGAGAGAAATCTGAGTGGCCCTGAGGGGTTGCCTTTCATCAACCCCTGTACTCACTGCCTTTTAACCAGGTGCCTGGGAGGCATTTTTGGCAGCTGCTCCCAGGGAAACATGCCACTCATTGAATCATCTGGGGCACTCCCTGTTCCCACCTTTCATGAGCTGGTGCCAGTGAGTTCCTAGGCCAAGTCATGCCCCACCCTGATCCTGTTTGACTTGTGTGCTCTGCCAGGATCCCCGCAAGGGGCGGCCTGGCCTGGGGCCCCTGCTGCCCTTTAGTCAAGGGCAGCAACCAGGTCGATGCAAATACTGGTCCACGCAAATCTGCATACCGTGAGGCTCCCACTGATGGCAGCTGGGCCTTGGGAAGGGGGCCAACAGGTGGGTTGAGGTGCCAGTTTGGCTCTGGAAGGCATCTGCTGCTCTTATTTCAGCACTAAGAATGGAAGGATTCCCAGGAGAGGTGTAAAGGTTCCCCCTATGGTTTTCAGAAGCGCTAAGGTTTGCTGATTTCTAAAGCATCACACAAGTACAACAGTGAGGAAGACGTTTACAACAATGAAAAAGATATCACCATCAGCAAGTTGGCAAGATAATAGCTAACATTTATTGAGCACTTAAGTGCCAAACAATAGTTTATAGGAATTAATCCACAGAGTCCCCATAAAAACCCTATAAGCTATATGCCACCAATGTTCCTACTTCTCATGAGGAAATAGAGGCACAGAAGGGATTAAGTAGCTCTGCCTGAAATTACCCATCTTGTAAGTGGAGTAGAGCCCAAGTACACCCTCCATCTCAATCATACTATTAGCCAGTGTTTGAGTGATTTAACTGGCATCTTATGGAGTGACGTCTGAAAATGCTCTACAATTTATTAACACAAAGTTCTTTCATGCGCACTGTCTCAATTCATCTTCATATTCGTCCAATGAGGGAGTCATCCCATTTTACAGATGAAGAAAGGGAGGCTCAGAGAAAATAAAGTGAATGCAAAACCAATGAGTGGCTGCATTAGGACCTCAGATAAGTGTCTTCCTTCCCAGTTTACCCTGTTGTGAGTCATCTCAAAGGGGCCTAGGAATATTTGTATCCAAATATACATAATGAATGTATGTACCCTAAATGTACTCAGAATAACTACACATTGGTTTTGTGCTTGTATTTTACATAGTGGGCATTTCCTCAAGAATAAGCATTAGGTAACATGGGAGTAAAGATTATGTGCAAAGAGATCTGAGTTGGGGGTCAGGACTCCTAGGTTCTGGTCTGCTCCATCATGAATGCTGGTGACCTCGATTAACTTACCTTCTAGGGCCTCATTTTTCTCTTCTGAAAAACCAGCTGGTTGGGTTTTATGAACTCATGTTTCCTTCCAGCTATTTCAGATATGCTGATGGCATTTAAGACTGAGTTACCTAGAAATACTCACATCAGCGTAGTCTCGAAATGGAGCTGATGAGAAAACCAGCATCTGTGTCGTGGCAACCTACCCATTCACTCCCAGGGGTTCCCTACCTGGCCACAAGATGGTCTAATTGACATGGAGTGTTTCTACTGTGGGGCACCACATGAAATGTTTCTTTTCTTTAACAGCGGAGGCAGAAGAACTCTTTTAAAAGAAGCAAAGCAAATCTACAGGTTTAAAAGAATCAAAGTAAATCTACACTCCCGCCTTCTTGAACAGGTAAGTTAGCCCCACGTATCTCACCTCATTAGACGAAAACAGGTGTTGTGTGATGCTGCCTATCCTTCTTCCTAGGGAGTGGTTAAATCTTCTAGCTATGAGTAATTGGAGGCAAAGTCTCCCCGTTGGTCTGTTTTCATGTCATCCTCCTATTTGGACGACATACTTGTCCACCTAGATTTGTCATCTTCTGTTGGTAGGGTCGTCTCTAGATATTCTAGAAGGGTGCTGGCTTAGGCTCTTCCTCAAGCTTTCCCTCTGCCTTGATTCAATCCTGATTTTTCAAGCTTAAGGGCCTGCTGCTGTTCCTTTTCTTTTTTTCACCGTTTTTATCTCTGTACTTTCACATTCACATCTCTCGTTACATTTCCTGTAGTAGACTAGTATTTCTTAAACGTGTATGATGTGCTACTCAATGTATCAGAAGAAAAAAATTCTTGTGGCTTTCCCCACCACCACCACTCTGCTAAAATTGACTTAAATTGTGTTTCTTTTTATATCACCTGAACATGTGCAAATCTAAAAATGGGTTTTTAAAAATCCTTAGGTTTACAGCCTTCATATGATATATAAGACCAAAACAACCTTACAAACGAAGTACAAATAACACTACAAAATCTTAACTAACTGTATTAATTTACTGTGGCAGACAATGCTGTTTTAAACTGCTGAAATGAAATGTCTGCACAGGATGTGACTGTGGTATGGGCTGTCACTGTTTGGCATGCCTGCGCCATTATGGGCCACTCAATCCTGCCATCTTTTTCTGCCACCCGAACTACTGGCAAGTCTTCATTTGTTCAACACACCAACTGGCCTTTGCTTATCATAAATGCATCATTTCCATATTTTTAAATAAAGCTGTATATATTTAAGGTGTACAACATAGGGGTTTGATACACACACAGTGAAATGATTACTAGTCAAGCTACTTAACATATCTTCTCACATAGTTACCTTGCTGTGTGTGTGATGAGAGTATCTGAAATCTACTGTCAGCAAATTTCCGGTATTCAATACAGTATTTTTAGCGACAGTCATCACGCTGTACCTTAGACCTCTAGGCCTATGCATCCTACTTAACTCTAACCTTGTATCTTTAACTGACACGTCCTTATTTCCCACACACCCCCACCCTTGGTAACCACCATTCTCCTCTCTGCTTCTATACATCCGACTTTTGTAAATTCCACATATAAGTGAGATCATGCCATTTTTTCTTCCTGTGTATGGCCTACTTGGCTTAGCATAATGTCTTCCAGGTTCATCCATGTTGTTGCAAATGGCAGGATCTCCTTTTTCAAGGCTGAATAATGTTCCACTGTGTATATATACACCATAATTTCTTTATTCATTCATCCATCAATGGATACTTAGGTTGTTTCCATATCTCGGCTATTGTGAATAATGATGCAATGAGTGCAGTAGCACAGACATCACATCTCTTTGAGGAGTACTGACTTTACTTCCTTTCAGTATATACTCAGAACAGGAATTGCTGGATCATATTACAGTTCCACCAGCCCTCATGGTGATCATTTTGAAACGTATAGAAATATTGAATCACTATGCTGTGTAACATGAACATAGTGTTGTAGGTCAATTATACTTCAAAAACAAACAAACAGGGCTTCCCTGGTGGCGCAGTGGTTAAGAATCCGCCTGCCAATGCAGGGGACACAGGTTCGAGCCCTGGTCCGGGAAGATCCCACATGCCGCAGAGCAACTAAGCCTGTGCGCCACAACTACTGAGCCCACGCGACTAAAGCCCGTGTTCCACAAAAAGAGAAGCCACCGCAATGAGAAGCCCGCGCACCGCAACACCCGCGCACGGCAACAGAGTAGCCCCTGCTCACAGCAACTAGAGAAAGCCCACGCACAGCAACGAAGACCCAACACAGCCAAAAATAATAAATAAATAAAAATAAAACAAACAAACTCCTAGATAGATCAGATTTGTGCTTACTATAGGCAGGGGGTTCAGGGAGGGTACAAAGGCAGTCAAAAGATACAAACTTCCAGGCAGAAATAAATAAGTACTAGGAAGATAATGTACAACATGATAAACATAATGAACACCACTGTACGTTATATATGAAAGAGAGTAAATCCTCTCATGGGTGAGCTCTCATCACAAGGAAAAAAATTGTTTCTGTTTCTTTAATTTTGCATCTGTATGAAATGATGGACATTCACTAAACTTACTGTGGTCATCATTTCATGATGTATGTAAGTCAGACCATCGTGCTGTACAACTTAAACTTACACAGTGCTATGTGTCAATTATATATCAATAAAACTGGAAGAAAATTAAATAATAAAATTAGATTGATTAAAAACTGACTTTTTTTTAAATGATAGAAAAGAAAAAACATCAAAGTGTATCACATGGTGTCAGAATAAGTACTGTATACAGGAAATTGTTTCAAACACACACACACACACACACACAGGGGTGACCAATCCAAAGAGATACTGCATCACCTCTGGAGCAGGGCCCTGCCGGCCCACTGTCGTTGCCTAATCATGGCTCCTGACAATATCAGGTCCTGATCCCTGGAATCTGTAAATGTTACTTTACAAGGAAAAGGGGTTTTTGCAGCAGTGATTAAGTTAAGGACCTTGAGATGGATAGATTATCCTGGATTATCTGTGTGGGCCACAATTGCACAATCCTACGTGTTCTTAAAAAAGAAAGGCAGAGGGAGATCTGACACAGATAGAAGCACAGCCCTGCTAGCACCTTGGTTTTGATCCAGTGAAACTGATTTCAGACTTCTGGCATCAAGAACTGTAGGAGAATACATATCTGCTATTTTAACCCAGTTTGTGGTTATTTGTTACAGCAGTAACAGGAAGCTACTACACTTGCCCTCTCCCCTCACCTCTGCTGGTTCCTGCATCCTGGGGTGGTTCGGGGCGATCCCAGAGGAGGCACCAAGACTATCAGGGAGGTGGGGATGGTGACAGGAGACCCAGAGCTGTTTACCAATTAGCTTACAGTATTTTCATATTTTCACAAGTGGTGCAGCTGCCCTGGTCTGGATGGGCTGCTTGTCAGCCCTACTTATGTGTGCGTGAATATCAGTGTATGGGAAACTGGGTCACCAGTAAAATGGATTCCTTCTGTGGGTGGATGTCAAAAAAAAAAAAGATTGAAGGCCACTAATCCAGATGACCCAGAATATGCTTAGACTGAGTAACTTTTTTTTCAGGTCGCCATCAATATGAAAATACAAAATTTATGTATTTATTTAAAATCATCGAGATTTTTAAAAATATTTATTTATTTATTTGGTTGCACTGGGTCTTAGTTGCGGCAAGCGGGCTCCTTAGTTGCAGCTCACCGGCTCCTGAACTGAGGCACGTGGGCTCCCTAGTTGCAGCTCACAGGCTCCTTAGTTGTGGCATGCGAACTCTTAGTTGTAGCAGCATGTGGGATCTAGTTCCGTGACCGGGGATCGAAGCCAGGGCCCCAGCATTGAGAGCGTGGAGTCCTACCCACTGCGCCACCAGGGAAGTCCCCAAAATACAAAATTTAAATATCCTCATAGAGAATCTATGGACTCCCAAGACTCATCTGCAGGCTCTGAAAGACCCTCAGACCCCAGTTTGAGAAAGTCAGTAAAATCAATTTCCCTGTAGCATCAGGCAAGTATTTATCTTTCTACATCTCTTGAACCTTAAGCCTAATTTGTGTGGGCTCATCCACCCACAGGCTGTACCCACCTGCTCTCCCTTCTTAATCTGCTCCTGGCAACTGCACCTCAACGTGGCACTTTTACATGGACCAGCTGCCCACTAGGGCAGGTCTCAGGCCTCAGTGGACCTGCCCTTGGCTGTGCAGGCTGGGAATCACTCTGACCTTCTGACCTCACCTGTCCTCCACCTGGCTCAGCCTCAGGACCTCAGAGTCTTTTTGTTCCTGTGAACCCTGGGCTCTTTGCTGTCTGTAGTCTCAGAGCACTGACTTATCTTAGCCCCACGGTCTTAGAAGCAAAGATTTTGAATAAAATCCTGCTTTAAAAGCAAAACAAAATAAAAACACTACCTCTAAGGTATAACAAACTTCTTTTTCTGGGGCTTGTTTTCTGCTGAAGCCCCGCAGAAAAGTTTTGAGCAACCAGTACATGGAGTTCCCATCCCTGTGGCACACGACCCTCCCCCTCCCACCTCTTTCCCACCCCAGGTCACCTCAGACTCCAGTTCCATCTTAGGGACACCAGAGGTCCTGCCCTGAGGTGAAACCTCCCTCTGCATGACCCAGGTGTCCTTCTCTCTTGCCAAACCATTTCCTTATTCACGCACCAACCAACCTATGAGTCTTGAATGTTACTAGAGCTTGTACTGACCTCGACATACTATTTTCACGTACATTTGGCCATCCGACCCTCACCACAAACTTGGATATTGGTTGTGTTTGTATCACTTCATTTTACAAATGAAAAAACTGGGACTTCAAGTTCAAGAGACCCATTACTCTATGCTATTCATCTAGTAAGTGGCAGAGCTGGCCCATCTTTTGGCTCTTGCTCCTGTCTACTGCCCTCTGCACCTCTTTGCCTTATCCTCTGTGTATAGTAAAGCTAAAATTAGGGAAAGGGAAGAGAGGAATTCTTCACCCTCTCCCTCCAACAGGGGCTGCCAGCCTGGAATTACACAGAATCTTCCCTACCTTGAAGTTGAATGAATTTAAACATTGGTCTTACCCTTATAAGTAGTAGCACAGATGACAACCTACCTGGTATAGTTTGAGATGCCTGGGGAAGGCCCTCCCCTCACCCTGAAACCTGACGAGGTGGCTGAAATCGGAACTCCACTATTAGAGTCCACTCTTTTTGAGTCTCAGAGTCATGGGGTAGCAGAACTTTGGGGTCAGACACATTAGGATTCCAAACCCATTTCCACTCCTTAGTTGTGTGGCCTTGGGCAAGTCTATCCTTTCTGCAGTTCTCATCTGCATAGTGGACAGGACCCACTACATAATTTGTGAAGCCCAA